CCCGGTGATCAGCATGCGCTCCCGTACTCTACTTGAAGAAACCATTGACGTTCTAGTCGATGAGACTACCAGGGAAATTGTTATCGAAGAGTGAACGCCAAGCATTTTGAGTCTGTATACAGCTGAAACACCCCCAAAGTTTTCGATTTCTTTTGCAGTCTTGGGATCATACAATTCCCGAATGAAACACAACTCACGTACAGCCCGCGTGGCCCTCATTCAGCGATCAGCCTCTCTCGACCTTGAGGAAAACCTGCAAGCGACTGTTGCCGATATCGAACGGGCAGCAGTGCAGGGGGCGCAAATCGTATGTACCCAGGAACTGTATCGGGGGCAGTATTTCTGTCAGACTGAAGATCATGCCATGTTTGATCTGGCAGAGACCATTCCGGGACCGAGCACGGAAGCTTTCTCTGCCATCGCTAAAAAACATGGAATTGTGATCGTTGCATCGCTATTCGAGAAACGGGCGGAAGGGCTGTACCACAACACAGCGGTGGTTCTTGATGCCGATGGTGCAAATCTCGGGCTCTATCGCAAGATGCATATCCCGGATGATCCTCTATTTTACGAGAAGTTCTACTTCACACCGGGCGATTTAGGATTCAAGGTCTTCGACACAAAGTTCGGGAAAGTCGGCGTACTGATCTGTTGGGATCAATGGTATCCCGAAGCGGCGCGGTTGACCGCACTCGCTGGAGCAGAAATTCTTTTCTACCCAACCGCGATTGGCTGGCATCCTTCAGAAAAAAGTGAATATGGCAGCGCGCAGCATGATTCCTGGGAAACGATTCAGCGGAGTCATGCCATCGCCAATGGTGTCTACGTCGCAGCCGCCAACCGGATTGGTCATGAAGGTGATCCTGGTGGAGGCATCGAATTCTGGGGGCAAAGTTTTATCTGCAATCCCAGTGGGACAATCTTAAGCAAGGGAAGTACTGACCAGGCAGAGATCGTCATGGCCGACTGCGATTTCTCCATGCTCAACGAGCAGCGAACGCATTGGCCCTTCTTGCGTGACCGCAGAATTGATGCCTATGGTGATATCGTCAAACGCTACAGAGATTGAAGTATTTGACATTGAAAATCCTAGCAAAACGATCAGCCATAGCGCGTTAGCGTCCGGTTCCGAGTTAAGAACCGTGGGCTAACGCCCAGCGGCTGATGTGGCAAACCAGTTTGGTTAGGTTTTCGTACTTCCGGAAAGAGTCAGTAAATCTTTAGCCTCGTTTCCGTGTTGCCAGAGCGTCATCTGTGAACGGGCGTAAGGACTCCAGGCCTCGTATTTCGAACTTCAGACCGACCTGCTCGAAATCCCTTTGCACTTCCGCCAGCTTTCCCATCACGCTGTGGTCAACCAGTTTCACTTGTGAAAGGTCAACAATGATGTTCCGTTGCTGCATCAGGCCAATTTGTTCGATTCGTCGGCGAAACGGAATCCAGTTACTGAAGACTGCTGCCTGTTGAGCCATAATCAAATAGGTTTGGTCATCGATCTCTTCGATTTTCAAATCAGGTCGAAAAATCGCTCGCAATGGAACTCCATTGGCTACGTCAATGATGATCTCTAAAAGAATTCCAATCGTGATTCCAATAAGCAGGTCTGTCGCCAGGACAGCGACTAAAGTTGCCACAAAGACGGCGAGCTGCTCTTTTCCAATGCGGTAGGCATGCAAAAACTCTGTGGGATGCGCCAGGCGATATCCGGTGTAGATTAACATCGCTGCCAAGGCTGCCAGGGGAATCAGGTGCAGTACCATGGGAATCAATGCCACACATAACAGCAAAAAGATCCCATGCCAGAAATTCGCAAAACGCGTCTGTGCTCCGTTGTCGATGTTAGCTTTCGAACGCACGATTTCTGAAATCATCGGAAGCCCACCAACCATCGCTGCACAGATGTTGGCAACTCCAACGGCCAGCATATCTCGATCAAGGTTCGTTTTTCTTTCCCAGGGATCGATCAGATCAATCGCTTTGGCACTCAATAACGACTCCAGACTGCCAATTATGAAGAACATAAAGACCCACTTCCAGGCTTTGGTTTCCGCCAGTACTGAGAAGGCAGGCATGGTGACAGCGTCGAACATGCCAAAGATGCGGTCCGGCATCTCGACCAGAAACTGCTGACCTAATTGATACTGATGCCCTTGTATCACATAAGAGTGCTCTTTCAATAAGTTGAACCACAACCCCATGGGAATGGCAACCAGTAAAACGACCATGGGAGCAGGGATCGGTTTGAGAAAGACTATCCTGCTAGACAAAATAGGCCACGTAAACATCATCAACAGACTGACAAACCCAATAGCGACAATTGCCGGATTTGCCTCTGCGATGTAATGCGGAAACTCGCGCAACATTTCCAATGGTTCACCACCCGCAGAAACACCGAGCGCCACTGGAACTTGCTTGATGATAATGATCACCCCAATGGCTGCCAGCATTCCATGGACCGCAGAAATGGGAAAGAACTCCCCCAGGATTCCGGCTCTCAGTAGTCCAAAGAGAATTTGCAACAGCCCTGCTGCAAATCCCACAGCCAGGGCGGCTCGATAAGCATCAAGGTCAGCTGCATCCCAGCCTCCTTCCATCCCATTTCCACCAAAGTCTGCAATGCAGCCAGCAACGATGACGATCAGACCGGCAGCGGGGCCTTTGATCGTCAGTTCAGAATTACTGATGAACGTCGTCAGAATCCCGCCGATAATGGCTGTAAAGATACCAGCAATGGGAGGGAATCCACTGGCGATGGAAATACCCAGGCACAGTGGTAACGCAATCATAAAGACCAGGGAGCCAGAAGTGAGGTCCTGTTTGAAATGGCTCTTGAAACCGATCGCGTTCCCACAAGGAACTTCTGGA